GTCACCCTCACAGTGAAAAAGTTTCTCCTTAAGCTTAGGCTGAACCTCCCATTTCCCAGTTTGTGACCATTGCCCCTTGCCCTGTCACTGGACACCACTGGCAAGAGTCTGGCCCCATCCTCCTGACACCCATCCTTTAGATATTTCTAAACATTGATGAGCAAGGCCAGACTGGATGGGACTTTGAGCAACCTGGGCTAGTGGTGTGCCTGCCCAGAGCAGAGGGGTTGGAGCTAGATGATCTTCAAGGTCCCTTCCAACCTTATACCATTCTGTGAGACCAGTGGTCCCACGTGCTTGGTGCCGTGCGTGTCAGGATTTATTTGTTTGTTTGTTTGTTTATCTGCATGTAGGAGCATTGGTACTTGACATTACCAATTCCCTACTTTATGTTTAGTACTTAGACAAGCAGGCTATGACTGAACAGCTTCTGCCTAGGAAGAGAATTGTGTCCAAAAATTGTTTCAGAAATGGCTAAATTGGACTGGACGACTAAGGGGAAGTAAATAGAGAAGTTGTTATAGATGTAAGAGCTACTGGTGGTCTGGTTTGGTGAGAAAGAGGTCCTGCTAAACACAGGTTCTCGCTTTGTTCTGGTTGTAGCATTTAGTCCCCAGTTGTGGATCAAGGATTTGTATATTCATTTTTGTAGGAGAAAGAGGACGGGAGAGGAGGCAAACCAGATCATACAAAATGATGAGAGCTTATTTTATTAATTGCTTATAATTCCAGTAGTTTCAGTTGCAGGAAGTCTTTGATATTACAAATGTATTTGAAGAGAGTGCAGGTAGGACGATGCAATGCTTTGTGGCAAAACAAGTTAAGATTGAATCACAAATTTGAGTTGGCATAAATGGTGTAATATTAAATCGTATGCCAGTGTGTTTAATTGGCTTAGTCAATATTCATATGCAAGTTTAATTTTGTAGTTCTGACACTTAGAAGGGATTTTAGTGCTTGTTTCTGAGGTTCGTTTTGGTTTTGTTTTAAACACTACTGAAAAGACTGACATCAGGAAGTAAATCCTTGCCCTACTTTTTACTTTTGTTTAAGTTGCAGTAGTAAAAATAAGCTTCGGACCAACAAAACTCTTTTAATCAAACTAAACTTCTAATCTTTATGACTATCAATTAACAATGTTTTTTTTTTTCTTTTTAATGATTCAGTTGTTATACAAGAAGACAGCTCCAAAAAGGAGTATGAAGTAGTTGGACGTTTTCCATTAGTTGATCCTTGGTGGAGAATTAATGTTAAAGTTAAAAAGATGGGGTCAAAGTACTTTACGCAAGGATATCCATCGTATTTTCTGCGGACTGATATAGAAGAAAACAACCGACAAGTCTTTTCACTCTTTCTGAAGGAATGTGCTGTTCCTGAGGATTTTAGAGAAAAGTTTTTTGCTTGGCTTCCTGTGGAGTCTATGCTGAATTTTGGAAACCTTGAAGGAAAACTAAACCAGTTCCAGGTTTCACAGTTACAGACAGGGGAGAAACCGAGAGACACCAAGGCTTATGACATCTTCTACTATGTTTCAAAATCATGTAGGTATATCCTGTGCTATTTTGATTGTTTTATAAGCTAATGACTTCTATCTCAGATACTGTGTTCAGGCTAACATGTCTTCTTATGAAGTGTATATTCAAATTAATTTTGAAGATGCGGAGATTCTTCTTTATGTTTTTTCTTTTTTTCCTAAATTTGGGAACAGCATGACAGCTGACCGACTAAAGATATGCACACAGTTAGAAACACGTAAAGACTTTCCTGAATTCTGTAGGCTTACTGACTGGAATTGTCTGCGCTAGGGATGCAAAGACACTGGTGATGGCCTCCTGTAGTTTATTCACATATGACAAGGCTTATGAAATAATGGATTCAGCACTGCTTAAACATGGTGGTACAGTAGGACAAATACATGTTCAGTAGTAGTATACCTGCTTCATTGTAGTGCCAGGGAACAGTGAGTGAGCTCAGCATAAAATCCACATAAGCTGCACTAAATGGACTAAGTGTATTTGAATCCTGCCCATCATCATATTGGTATGGCTGGGGAGGAGAGTGTGGAACCACTGGAGCATCACCACGTAGAGGTAATTCAGAGCTGCTGAGGATCCTGTTGTGGACTGTATTGGCGTGACTACGTGAGTTTTACAGATTGGGTCAGGAGTGTGCTTTTGAAGTAAACATCCTTCTTGTCCATGTTTTGATTTGGTTTCTAAGAGTATTCCTGCT